ATACCACCAGATCCAGTGACAGAACTGCAGCTCACATTTCAAACACTCTGTGAGTTACCATTTCAGTGCTCTCAATCTTCTATACTTCCAAATATCTCCAGCCCATTGTCAGAGAAAACAAATACAGCAAGTGAAGTAGATATTCAGAACATGTGTCTGAACAGCAATACAGCAGATGTTCTTTCATGATCACCCAGCTGTGATAGCCATTTTTAGTCTTCATTTAAATGTGCTTCAGAACAATTTCAAATGTAAAAATATCAGTCAGAAGAATGCTATGTTCAAAACTCTCTTATTTTCTGTGTTCCTTTCAATCTTTAGGCAATCATCCATATTGAAATCATCCCTGCTTGGAGGAGTGAGGGAGGAGGAGAAAGGAATGAAACTAGTCCAGAGGTACAGCTGTATCATAATCTTCTATTGTATACCAGTATATTATGCAAGAAATAAAGCTGGAATATTATAAAGATCTTGTTTTCATATGTCTTTGTTTAAACTATGATGCAGAAACCAGAATCATGTAAGCACCTCACATACTCAAAAATAAATACTGTAGTTGCATTTTACTAATTCCTCCTCCAAAAGCAAGTATTGGGATGGAATATATGCCTTCTACTGTATTCAAGACCGCAGTTTGCAGTGGTACTGCAGACAATTAAAATAGGCACTGCTGCAGAAGTTAAGGTCAGAATCTCTCTTTATTTACAGCAGTACCCTCACAGTATAGCATGTTGTCCTCATGGATCACATAGTTTTCCCCCCTCACTTTTCAAAGAGTGAAATTACATAGCTCCAATTTTCATCAATTTACCATGATGTGATTCCCAATCATATTGAAGAGACAGGAAAATTCCTGAACAGATATTAAAAGCTAGCACACATTTGTACTCTAAAATATGATTATTTAAAAAACAGATATGACCAGGTTAATCATATCTTCAAAAACAAAACAAGAATTTTTTTTACTAAATTACCATTAATAAAATTTTTAAAATTCTCTATTTTAAAGTAGCCTAGTTTACATTTCACTATCTGTTTTCCCCCCATTTTGCTTAGTATAGACAAGAAAAATAGGTTAGAAACTTGAAGTAAACTGGCTAGTCAATTTCACATTGAGGTTCTCAATGCACTAGCCCAAGAGAGCAATGTTTGAATTATGAACAGCTCAGGGAAGTGTTTACATACCCACAGTCAGGTTGGCACAAAACTTAGGTTTAAAGAAAGAAAGAAAAAAAAAGTGCTTTGCATGACAGACCAAAAAAAAAAAAGTGTTGACCCAAATAAAGGTTTTCATGAAATTAAAAAAATTACAATGAGTTTGTAAAAGAAAAAAATTCATAAACACAAACATTTTTGTTTGCAATACAAATGTTAGCCTAGTAGATGAGAACCTGAAAGTAAAAGATGATTTGTCTATTTCCACTCACAAGAGGGACAGAACTTAACAGCACAAGTAAATTACATTTTTTTTAAATTCTCAATTTTAATAATGTAATGTATTTTATAATATAGGCAAGATTGAAAACTACAGATGAAAGCGCTAGATATATTATTTGATTTATTAAAAATAGATGGGGCCAGATTTTCACTTGGTGTAGCTCCACTGATATCAACTGAAATATGAAGATTTACACCACATGGGAATTACACCAGATTGGGCCATGTTTTTTAACCCAGCATGAACCCTTTATTAGTTTTAAACAACCCACTCTGTTTTTTATTTATTATTCCTTGAAAAGCTTCAGTTAATCTTTGATTTCCTGAAAAAGCTCTTCACAGGTGAATCTGGAAGTTGTTTTTGTTTGTTTAATTAGCAATATGCTGTGATCAACATCCACTGGGTTGTCTCCTCAGGGCAGAGTATTTTATCAATTCCTTTTTATGTTCTTTTAAAGCATCAGACGCTAGTAGACTAGGCCTTTTAGACCCATAACCAGTGACTTTATCTGATGAGTAACAACATCTAAAATTCATTCACACCAGTATTCACAAACATTAATAAATAATAAATAATAATAATAAAGAACAGATCAAGAAAATATGAAGATGTAATCTTAGTGGCTATCCAGATTCAGAAGAGAAACGGTCTTAAATTCTTCAACACTTACAGATATATGCTTATGTCTATATTAACTTGGACCTTCCAGCAACGAGCCAGCAGACATCCAAGTCCTACAGGAGTTGAGACACACCAATCTCAAGGTCCCTTTCACCTAGAGCTCACTCTCTGAGCTGAAGTCAAAACCCAACATTCACTGGCTTAAGTCCCACCTCTAATTCTGCCTCTAAGAGTTTTCGTGTTCCCAGAGAGTTCTTTCTTCCATAAGTATACAGGAATTAGAACTGGTCAGAAAATGTCAAAATGAAATTTCGACAAGCAAAACAAGCGAACAATCTAAATCTGTAATTTTTTTCTGAGCAACTCTAACAGGATTGTGTGCAGGGGTGTTTTCCTGGTCACTTTGCATATCACCACTAGAACATCTTAAAGCCATGGATAAACTAGGCCAGATTCTGATCTCAGTAACATCAGTATAAATTCAGAGTCACTGCAGTAAAGCCAGTGGAATAACTCCAGATTACGCTAACATAACGGAGATCAGAACCTAGCTCACCAATCCATTACAGGCATCCTGCCAGTTACATAATTTCAAGCAGGATTTAAATATGCCAGATTCACAGCAAAAGCTATTTGAAAACCAGGCTCCTCATCTCCTACAAATTACCTGAATGTAGTTTAAGATTCCATGATTTCTCCCACAACAACCTCAACCTGACTAACAGAACCAGGAACCAAAGAACCCTCAAGTAAAATAGAGTATTTCATGTAACTTTTACTAATCGTTACAGTGTTTATGCTGACTAGCACTACATATTACTTTATTATATTTGAGAGTCTTATTTTTCTTTTCAGTTATTTTCTGAAGCATCATAAATGTAGCTTTACTAGTACATGACTGTGTTCAGTGAAATTGCTTCCCGTCACAAACATTAGAGAACACGAACTATTGTATAACTGGCCAGGTGCCCAAGCCATTAACTACATATATATAACAATTTCCTGTAAATTAACCCGAAAAGAAAAAAAATCAATAGGAATCATTTTAAGCTACACTTCACTTCCTATCGGTACAATTCAGTTACAAAAACAAAAGAAAAAACAGCTTTGTAGTTCTCTGAAAGAATAGAAAAATATTTGTTTTACTGTTCAGCAATTCTGCACAAACCTTATCCAAAACAAGTTTGGAGAATACATGCACAAGATTTGTATACAACAATATAGTGCTTTACATCTTCAAAGTGCTGCAACAACATTCACTATTTGAGAAGGACACACGGGTAATGAAAAAAAAAAAAGTCCCACTTCTTGTCCAAAAAATATTTATACGTACTACAGTTGCAACAATCATCTCAAATTACTACAGCTGGAAGGAATTAGAAGACATTCTCCATTTTTAGGTTTACTCTGTGCGCATTTGACAGCACTTTGTGCTTAGTCAGTTTACTTGTTTTCCTTATTGTTTGCATGGGTCTTTCATCACATTCAACAGGGGAGAGAAAAAGCATTTTAAAGAGTATGAAAATGGCAGCATAATGCAGACTCAATTCCAGTTCCTGAAGTTACTTTTAATGCATTTTTTAAAACTGTTGTGATTTCATGTTCATGGAGTCCCTTTACTACTTACTGCCCATTTCCCAGAAATGTATTTATTGCTATTCTCATTTGCAGATGGAGAAACTATGGCTCAGAGGGCCAAATTCACCATTGGTGTTATGTAGATGAAGTTCTAGCGAAGTCAATGGCAACCTACCAGCTTATTCCTGTGGTGAAACTGGACAAGGGAGACTAAGGCCCCATCCATGCTTCTGAAACTACCTCTAACCTGATAGGATGAAAATAGCAATTCACAGGATTTCTCAGCAAGCGCAAGGCTTTATCAGAATAAGCCAGAACTAGGTACCATAAGCAAAAACAGGGATAAAAAGGAAATTCCCAGTCTAGGGTTCACCCAGACTTTGGTATCTGGGCACAGGGCCTTGCCATTCTCTCTCTCCTCTCCAGGATCCCTTATACCGCTTCACTGCAGTACCTACTTAAGGGAAGAGGAATGTAAATCTCGAGTTAACACCTAACCAGGCAGCGTCTGACTAGACTGCTCTCTGCCTCTCTGTTTTTCAAAGCCATTCCAGCTGGCACAGTTGAGCCAACTGTATAGATGGGACATAACTTTGCTAAAACACCTGGTCTGGGATAAGTCTTTAAAAAACTGTTTTAGCAGAGTTGTGCCCCACCTATACGGTTGGTAAAACCGTGCCAGTAGAAGCGGCTTCTATAAACAAATGAGATAGGGAGCAAGGGAACTATGTGGTTTCCAGTGCAAAAAAGGTTAACTTCAGCGTCCCATTCCTCTCCCCTTGCATAGGGGCTGCTGTACACACAGACCTTGCCCAGAGGCTGGAATGGATTTTAAAAGCGTTTCAGGAGTGTAGATGCAACCAGGAGCGGTGCCAGGGTTTTTGCTGCCCTAGGTGGCAGCACTCCTCCCCAGAGCGAGTGAAGGACCCGCTGCCAAAGCGCCCCAAAGACGCAGAGCGGAAGGACCCCCGCCGCCGAATTGCCGCCGAGGACGGCAAAATGCCGCCCCCCAAATCCTGCCGCCCTAGGCGACTGCCTAGGGTCGCCTAGTGGAAGCGCCAGCCCTGGATGCAACATAACTTGCATGAAGCCACAGAGCAAGTAAGTGGCAGAGGTAGGAACAGAACTCAGGATATCTTGATGCAGAGCTCCATGCACTAACCACATGCCTCTCTTCAGTTTTATGTCTAGTATTTGCAGAGTTGTGTGTTCAATTATTTTAGTTTTAAAGCATGTATTTTTTATATTTTAGAGAAAGAGAAACACACAGATAGACAACCTTTTAGGGGTAAATACTCTCCCCTTCTCCCCCCCCCCATCATCTCCCTTCCCCAGTCATAAAATTCAGCACGGCTAACTGTACCTTAAGAGCGCCACAAAGCTCAACAGTATCTGCATCGTCTACTACAGTTATTCGGAAGTTTGGCGTCTGCAGGAGTTCTTTGAAAAGAAGGCCGTTCTCCAGGATTTTACTGCCTGTTGGGGGGAGGGAGGTGGAAGGGAGAAAGCAAGCAATGAATAATGTATTCATTTATTATGCTGTCTTTTTAGGGCAAGGCATAATACTTCAAAGCAGGAGTTAGATTGTTTTTCCCCACTTCCCCTCCCTCCAACCAAGATAGTTCTTAACATGGAGACATTTACCAGTAGTCTAAGAGCTCAGAATAGACAGAAGAACAATCATATAACTTCACCACCACCTCCTTTTTGTTTAAATCCATTTCCCTTGTTTTCTTATTATTTAAATAATTAAAATTGGTTTTAAAAAACAATCTGTCCAAGTTATCTCCTCAGCAGCTGCAATTCTATGAAGTACTTTAAGCACACGTTCATACCTACTGGTAAAACAAGTCACAGATACCTTATTAACGCAGCAAGCTAATGTTGCCCTGAAAAAGAAGTGTCTGTCAACATTTTAAATTAAATCAACCATCTAAAATAATTATATGCAAGAGATGTTAACGTTACACTAAGCTCACAAAGCTAACTACACAAAAGTAAAAAAAAATTTATGGTCTAACAACATTAACTCCCTCAGATTGCACAGAGCTGTATATATTTGAATGCACATGTGAGACTTTGTGAAATCTCTCCAGCCTTAGATGGGTGCAGAGAAATCTGTGCTAGTAATTCCAATTGCAGGATCAAGGCCAACACCCGCAGTTTGGAAGAATTAGTTACGATGAAAACCTACAAAGGATACAGTAGCACCCTTAAAAAGTTATAAATATGGAAAGAGAGAGTTTCACAAGCTGCAACACCTGTACTAAAAAACATCTAATCACTTGATATTAGACTATGTAGCAACTTATGTAGCAAAATGTTCTGCACAGCAGTGGCATGGCTACTTTATCAGTATTAAACAGTATAATTGTTATTTTGTGGGTTGGTAATTATTTCATTGTAAAAGAAATAAGAGTTGGCTCTGAAGACACAATCCTAATGAGATTTCATAATCTCTCCTCCCAATGCCTTACTGCTACATTTGGAAGTGCAAACATTATAGGAAGTTCAGAAATTAAATATGAAAGACTTAGCAGCTTCTGATAATGATTGATTAAAGCTGGCAACGGTGATGTTCAAATTATTCAATGTGGAGTTTTGAGCATAGACATCGATATTTTAAACATTTTAATTACACAGAATGTTACCTATTGTGGTTTCACAGAACTTCTCTGCCGCTACCTCATTGGCAATGTTAGCTCCCATCAGCACACTGATGTCTATTCCCATTTTCTCTCGAATAATGTCAGAAATCAGTTTGAGTCCCTCTGGGCCTTCATCTATTCCCTGCAGCCAACATTAAAGTGAATTACTGAACAGGCATTAGACAGAATAGACTGCGTCACAATTATCCTTCCTGGGTGGAAGCTACAATAAAGTTTATCCAGTTAGTGACAGAAGATAGTGGACTTGCTACCACTGAGATAAGCCACACAGACACATCTGGCTATACAGCCTTGCCTCTACTGTGACCTTTTATGATGTCTTCCTTCGATACAAAATTGCACTTAAAAATTAGGAATTAGCTACCAATATCTAGATGATGACAACTAGGGTTTATTTTGTGCTAAATAAAGGGCATAATCCTGTAAGGTGCTGCAAGTTCATCTCCTCTGGGAACAGATCCTCAGATGATGTAAATGAATGTTCCCCTACTGAAGTCAACGGAGCGACACTGATTTCCACCTGTTCAGGAGCTGGCCCACTGACCTCAGTAGAAAACAACGAGGCCCAGAAACTCATAGGATTGGATTTTAATATTTGTATGTAATATTTTGTGGGGAAAACACTCAAACTGAAATATCATAGAGAAATTGCTTCATGTTTAATGACAGCAACGGCTTACTAGTCAATCAGAGTTCTAGTCATCTTGACCACTACTACAAAGTGAAAAGCCCATTTGTAGATATGGAAGAAGCTGACTAATAATACTTTTACTCTTAGGTAGCATTTTTCATCTATCGATTTCAAAGTGCTTTACTGAAATATCATTATCCCTGTTCTCCAGAGATAGAGAAATTGGGGTAGAGAGAGACTGAAGTGCCTTGAGTAGATCAGTGCCAGAGTGGAGAATAGAATCCAGAACTCCTGACTGCTTATGCCTTTTTCAAGGAACTGCAGTACCTCCTTCATCCAAAGCTATTTCTCCCATGGAACCAAAATGTGGTGAATTAACTGTGCTTTTCCCCTCTATAGAAGCACAAGGCTCAAAACTGTCCACCTCCTTCCCAAAAGTATAAATATTTAGGAGGTTATAGAAACATTTTTTTTGTAAAGCCTTATTTTTAAACAGTTTCTCATACTTAACACACAGAAGACCATCACTTTGAACTACACCATGGCCTTTTTTTAAGTATAAAAAGGCATTGCTGAAATCCATTAAACTTTATATAAGCCACAGAAGACATTTCTGGCTGGCAGAGTTTTGCATTCCTAAGGCTCAAAAAAATGGTTTATTTTTAAAAACACTGCACAACTAAGAGACATTGTGAGACACACACGTATGAAACCAGCCAATTAAAACGTAAGTCAATTACTATACTGTTGCATTACTTTTTTCACTCTCATGCTCTCACTTAACATCTTTGTGGACCATATTGTACAGTGATGAGAATATGAAAGAATGCTCATGTATGTGTTGTTTTTTTAACAGCTCCAAAGATGTCTTGACAGTCTATTTATTAGGTCCCCGAACAGGCAATTAACCAACAGCTGCCATTCAGTCTCTTTAAAAGGCATTTGGAACAACTACCTAGATATGAATTTGCACACTTGAATGAATAACCTGCATTGAGAGAGATCACATGTGACTGGATACTAAATCCAGACCTGCCGTGGACTTCTGCTGAAGTCAAAGGGAGCTGCACCTACTTCTACAAGGGCTGAAGTTGATCTTAAAAGAAGCAGGAACCCAGGTGGATCTGACCTGATAACTTTCACAGTGTAGGGGTATTCCCCATGTAGTGTAGAGCCAATGTAATGGCTCCCAACATAGGCCAGGGCAATAGATCTAGATGCTGCAATGGTCACCAGAAGCAACTAGGTGTAAATTAGAACAACCCAAAGGCTGGCCAGAGAAGCTTTCAAATTGCTTTTCACTCCTATGCTCTTCTTGTACTGCAATGCTAAAAAAGCAAGTTGGATTCCATTTCCTCTTATTATTCAACACAAACATTTACTGAGTTCCAGTCATTTACCCTGTCATAATCAATTTAAGGCAACATGATTACAGATGCATCATTCAGGGCCTCGTCCAGCATTCACCAAAGACCCAGATTTATTTTCACATATTAGGTTGAATTTGCAGGTCTGGCAGTTAAACATACACCTTTTATTTGTAAAGAGAATATACTGCATATAGAAATCAGACAGAGAGAGGAGCCCACCAATGCCATTTTACATAGCCCTCTTTCAGAGCAGAACTACACTAACTACAGCATTTGTTACCCATGGCCACGCTAAATGTACTTGCATAGCGATATAAATAGAGCAAGTGTGTGTATGCATGCACGTGCATGTGCTTAGAAATAAAAAAATCCTCCATTACTTATGAATGGTGAGATGATTCCATTCTCACATGCTCTTTTGTTAGTGAGATCAGATCTCTGCCCCTTTGTACAGATTTTTGTCCCATTGACAGAAAGTGGAAATAGGTAGTTTGCACACAGTTGCAACTGAATTTAAAAAAAAAAGTTTGCACCATTTATTTAAAGAGAGCACCTACTGGACCACAGAAGCAGCTTAACAATGGGAAGTTGTCTGGTAACCAGTTCTGGCTTGTGTAAGAGATGTCATCCAACTTTATATTAAATATTCAGACTAAGAATATACTAATGTTTATGGAAGAAAATAGAAAGTGTTTCCCTTGCATAAATAAATACTTTTTCCTTTGCATAATTTTACCAGTGCATTAAATATTTATTCTTTACATAAATATAGTCAATAACCATCAAGAATTTAAACTGTATTTTTAAAGAAATAAAGACCCAGTTTCTGATCCAAATCTGATCTGGGTAAAAGCCACAGTAACCAGACGGACATTTAGAGTTATTCTGGTTTCACATTGACATAGAGGACATCATGGTAAACATACAGGCCAGAATAAGTTAGGGAAGAATCAATTACATTTCTCTCAAGAGTTTAAGAAAAAGAGTGAAGGAACATGTCCTCAATTCTGTTGGTGTAGGCTACTTGGTGCCTTCAAAACGTTCAGTCTGGAATTTTATTTTCATCTCAGATAGCCAGATGGCTGACATGTTTCGTCGCTATATATTTATTGCTTTCAACACTATGCCAGAATCATGTGCCCTGTTTCTTTCATCCTTCAATTCAATGAATGTATAATCAAAAATCGATCTGTAAAGCACAACACCTGAACTAGAGCAGTGTTACCTTTTAATAAAATTCAAGCTTTCAAGACTAAATCCCTTCGATAGGGCAGCACTGACAAAAACAAGATTCAATGGTTTCAGCTAAACTAAAGAGACAAATTTATTTAAAAAATAAAAATGAAAGATCTGGAGGGTGAACCTGTGCCAGGAATGAGAACAGAAGGGGAACTTGTGCCGAGAAAATAAAGCACCCCGACCCTCAACAAATGAAGGGCAAGAACAAAGTAATGTCTTCTAGAAGCTTGTGGGAATAACCAAATCTACCATAGCTTAATATTCAGAAACAAAATGTCATTTAACAGAAACTCCCTTGCCTCCAGCTCTATGAAAGCCCCTTTAAAATGCTGTTCCCAACAAGTTCCCATACTGGGACTGGTTTATCTTTTTGGATGGCTCTGAACAGTTTCTCTTGTTGCAGCAAAATCTTTGATGTGAACGAAAGCACTGTCCACTCAGTCACATGACAGTCTCTCGTCAATTTTTAAAATGATCAGCTCAGTGTTTGGGATGTGAATTAACAACCAGACTATTATAGTTGTGCTCTGCTCTCCATCTAGTGATGTGTCCAGAATGAGAAAGTAATAGGCAGAAAAGCCTGGTGGTGCAAAACATTTTTTTAAGTTAGTCTTGCAAGCAGTCTCACCTCCCTGTTACTTAAAATGACAGAATAAAATAAAAAACACTGCATAACAATTCACTAGTGACTAGGACTCAAATTCTGATTGTACATCCAAAGAAGTCCTACTGAACAATCAAGAAAAAATAACAATTTGGCTGGGACATGGAAAGATTTTTCATCTCAAACTCTTAGTTGAATGGTTTCAGAAGATTCCATTATATATTGACAATGTTAACATATAGCATTTATTATACCTTGATGAGCGTTATCCCAACAGCTTTCTTTGGTACCCGTCCTGTGATCTCATCACAGATCTTATGAATAAACTGGTGAGGAATGACAAAGACCAACAAGTCTGCATCTTGCACAGCTTCGTTAAGATTTGGAATGGCAATCTGTACAATTATGGGAGAGAAAGGGGGTTGTGAAACAAAAGAATTTTTAAAAAATTAATTCTATTCAAAAGTTCTCTAAAAATAATCTAGACGAGCTTTCTGAGAATGATAATTTCTATCATGTTATATCAATAAGAGAAAAAAACCCCATGCACATTACATTCCTACACATGCGAGAGCATCAAATGCTTTCAAGCCAACCCAACCCAAGACATGTTGGGCCAAATTTTGAAAGGGGCCTTTCCCTGCCTTCTAATATTGTGCACACAATCAATTGTACCTGCAAATGACAGAATTTAGACAGATAACTACCAAATTTGCAGGAGCAAATGATGTTTGCACCTAGAAATCAGAGTTCAGACATCTAACTAATATTCACAACCTAATTGATTGAAATGCAAAATTAGAGGCCGGTTTTGAATGTCTCTTGCTTAGCTGCTGGTTTGGCAAAACAGTTTACATTTCTAATATACTACTGCACTCAGAAAAATGAGGCCTGGTCTATACCTAAAACTTAGGTCGACCTAGCTACATTGCTCGGGGCTGTGAAAAATTCACACTCCTCAGAGACGTAGTTAAGTCAACCTAAGCACACTGTAGACCTAGCTACCACCTCTCGAGGAGGTGTATTTACTATAGCGATGGAAAAAACCTTTCCCTCTCACTGTAGCAAGTGCCAACTGCAGTGCTTGTAATATAGATATGTCCTGTTTAAAAAAAAAACAAAAACCAAAAAACCTTCACCAGTCTCTCTTACATCTGTTTCCTGATGTTCTATTTTTGATTCTTAAAAGGTTTTGTTTTTCTTTTTAAGGTGACCAGCTTCCAAGCCACCTGCCAGACTTCACCCTTTTCCAACAAGTGATGAGGACTTTAAAGTAGTCCTCATGTTTAACCACACTTGAAATAACCGAGGCACCAAAAATGAGTTCTGGGGTTGTACAGTGGCCTCTGCAATCACTATTAATGGAGGTAATGAACATGAACAACCTGGGTAACACCAAAGTTTCCCTGGTCTATGACAAAAGGGAAATAATAAATTGCCTAGGGAGATTGTAGAATCTCCATCATTGGAGATTTTTAAGAGCAGGTTAGACAAACATCTGTCAGGGATGGTCTAGATAATACTTAGTCCTGCCATGAGTGCACGGGACTGGACTAGACCTCTCAAGGTCTCTTCCAGTTCTATTAGTCTATGATTTACTTCACATTAGGAGACTGGTGCAGCATTTGGGTTTCAATGGCACCAATAGAACCATAATCTAGCTACAGGCAGTTTTTAACCCATAGGTTTTCCTATTAAATTGTCAGTTGCTGCTCTCTCCTCCTACTTCTAGCTCTTTCTGGGCCAGATTCATGATTGCCCACCACAATATGTTGTCATTTACACCAGTGCAAACTGCGTGAAAAATGTCACCATTCAAGTTTGGCAGCACTTTACACTGGCATAAATGACTACAAAAGTGAACAGCCTTTACATAATTCAATGCAGCTTTCAGTAGTGAACTTCCAGAGGGTCTGAAATTCCACCTCTCTTCCAAACTTGTCAGTCAGTTCCTTTCCAAAATTGAGGGCAAAGGCATTAATCTTTCTATTATTTTCACGTGTTTGCATATATACACAATATAGCATATGGTGCCATAAAGTCATTTAAGGGGAAAATCTATTACAAGATTATGTTAGCTATCAACTACCTTAGAGAGCTCAGCTGTTCGGAACCCTTGATTGTGCCCACATCATTAACAAAATAATTAGAGTTTGACAAAAAGCAAAAAAGTGAATGAAACACTCCTATCTCACTTCTGACTATAAGCAATTTATATACATACATACATACATATATACACACACACACACACACGCGCCAAGTTTAGCTTCCAAGTCTTACCACATTTTCTGGCAGCTTGTAACCAGGGAGATATTTTACATTTTCATGTTCATTATTTATGATATCTGTCAGTTTTCTCCCATTAATATTTTCCTCAAAGACCCACATTTTCACTGTGGAAGCAAACTTTTGCATATTTTTTACATTATTGCCTATTATTTTGGCAACAGCAGAGCCCCTAGGAAAGAAAACAGAAAAAAGATATTCTAAAATTATACTAACTTTGTTCTGGAAAAAAAGGTCACTTAACACATACACACACCCCCGCCATCCTACCCACCCCCAAAATAACCAGGCAATTGGTCCAATTACTATTTAAAAAATTTGAACTAATAAAGGGGGGGGGGGAGAAAATCAACCAATCATTCATATATTTTGCTTTTGTTTAAACAAATACAGTCAGAAAAGAGCTCAGTAGACTGAAACATTTACTCATACCCCTCTAATTGCTTCTTCTGCTCATCAGACATCCAGGGGGAGTTCAGTAACTTCATATGCACAGATTCAAAAGGATTATATTTTTCAATGCAGTGGTAAGAAGCTACATACAACTTCTAAATAACTGAAAAGTTAAATTTAAAAAAGAAATGATGGGTCAGCAAGTTTTGTAAAATCCTCTTGCCAGTGGTGAGAAGATTTCCTTTGGCAGGGGGCACTAACCCATCAATTTCTGCAGAACATCAACTACAGCGTGACAGTCTTCCAAATGTGATCTGATGCAGTGCCATCTTCCTGAGTTTGCAGACAAACACTTTCATTGCTGCTCAAATCTTTTTTCCTCCCAAACAGCAGCAGAATAAAATTAACAAGATTCTGGGGTCATATTTACTCAGATCTCTGGACAACAGTGAAACTGCCCAAGAATTTCATTATGCAGGAAAAGTTACAAGCAATAGCAGTCAGGTACAGGAACTATATATGAGGAAGAAGAGTAGATTCTCCCACTCCCAATGGCCTTGGGTTCATGATTTGTGTGTGCATGTGTGGGGGTTTTATGTTACTTATTACTATCATTATTAATTTCCTGCATTTTCCCATTTGCCTTCCCCTGCCCCACAGCCTAAGGGGAGGCCATCAGAAGTAACTTCATGGGTGTGGGAGCAGGAAAAAAGGTGTGTGCTTTAAAAGACTGCATATTAAGAGGCAAAATACTGTTTTAACTTTATAAATTTAGCCACATATAAGCCCCTAGCATGATTCCCTAACAGCCAAAGCTTATTACAGAGTATTTGTAGTGAATTAGATTCATTCTATAAGAGCTTTTAATGCAGCAGTAGGGATTTGGCTATTACAATCCTTGTGATCACTTAGTAAGCATAAGAAATATTTATAACATGCCATGTAAAGACTTTCACTACATATAACAATTCTTGTTGAATTAAATCACAAAAGTGTTATTTCTTTAAAAGACTGCAAGAAAGTGTTTTTTAATAGAGTATTTCTTCTTTTTACAGCAGTATTTCATGTTCCACAAAATTTCCTGAACCAAGAAGGTGACAATGTTACCAAAACTAACATCTTGATTATAAATGCTGCAATGTCTGCCTGCTACATCCTGGAAAGCATGAGTCAAGCTATTGTCCTGAACTAATTTACGTTGCTTATGGAGTTAGAAAAGGAAATGAAAATTAGCTTTTAAGACGTGAGAATTAAAACAGAGAGGGACTTTGATGTAATGGCCAGAACATAGGAGTGGTAGATGAGAGTTCAGGGTTCTTTGCCTAGTTCTGTCACCAACTATCTTGTGCTACTATAGGCAATTTACCTTACCAATCTGTTTCAGTTTTCCTGTCTCTGCAATGGAAATAATAATATTTAATATATCACAAGGTGTGTTGTGTGTAAAGTGTTTTGAAATTCTTGGATGGAAGGGGCTATAAAAACGAAGTATTTTAGTACTATAGTTAAATAAAGACTGTTAAGTTTCTCTCTTTGGTCTTAATCTCCACTAAGTATTTTGCAAACATTGTTGATAGAGAAATACAGTGTTAATTCTAACTCAGCCTAAATGTGCACATGGTTTTTGTTTTGTTTTTATTGTACTGTACCATACACTGACATTATATTATTTTTGATTACAAATATTTGCACTGTAAAACAAAAGAAATAGTATTTTTAATTCACCTAATACAAGCACTGTAGTGCAATATCTTTATCATGAAAGTTTAACTTACAAATGTAGAATTATGTACAAAAAATAACTGCACTCAAAAATAAAACAATGTAAAACTTTAGGGCCTACACGTCCACTCAATCCTACTTCTTGTTCAGGCAATTGCTCAAACAAATTTGTTTACATTTGCAGGAGATAATGCTGCCTGCTTCTTGTTCACAATGTCACCTGAAAGTAAGAACAGGCGTTCACATGGCACTGTTGTAGCAGATATCACAAGATATTAACGTGCCAGATGCACTAACCATTCACATGTCTCTTCATGCTTTGGCCACCATTCCAGAGGACATGCGTCCATGCCGATGACGGGTTCTGCTCAAAAACGATCCAAAGCAGTGCGAACCAATGCACATTCATTTTCATTATCTGTCAGATGCCACCAGCAGAAGGTTGATTTTCTTTTTTGGTGGTTCGGATTCTGAAGTTTCCGCATCAGAGTGTTGCTCTTTTAACTCTTCTGAAAGCATGCTCCACACCTCATCCCTCTCAGATTTTGGAAGGCACTTCAGATTCTTAACCTTGGGTCAAGTGCTGTAGCTATCTTTAGAAATCTCACATTGATACCTTCTTTGTGTTTTGTCTAATCTACAGTGAAAGTGTTCTTAAATTGAACATGTGCTGGGTCATCATCCAAGACTACTATAACATGAAATATATGGCAGAATGCAGATAAAACAGAGCAGGAGACATGCAATTCTCCCCCCAAGGAGTTCAGTCACAAATTTAGTTAGCACTTTTTTTCAACGAGCATCATCAGCATGGAAGCATGTCCTCTGGAATGGTGGCCAAAGCATGAAGGGGTATACAAACGTTTAGCATATCTGGCACGTAAATACCTTGCAATGCTGGCTACAAAAGTGACATGCAAACGCCTGTTCTTACATTCAAGTGACATTGTAAATAATAAGTGGGCAGCATTATCTCCCGTAAATGTAAACAAACTTGTTTTTCTGAGCAACTGGCTGAACAAGAAGTAATATAAAGTGAGCACTGTACACTTTGTATTCTGTGTTGTAATTGAAATCAATATATTTGAAAATGTAGAAAAACGTCCAAATATATTTAATAAATTTCTATTGGTATTCTATTGTTTAACAGTATGATTAAAAGTGTGATTAACTGCAATTAATTTTTAACCGTAATTAATTATTTTTAGTTAATTGCGTAAGTTAACTGTGATTAATTGACAGCCCTACTTTGCATATGTACAGTGTGCACTGCTCACACCACAAGTTCCATTATTGTTTAATAGTTAGATGGTCTGGACTGTCTCTTTTCCTTCTTTGACTGTTATAAGAATAAGCTGGTCATTGATTTCCTGTGTTCAGGAATACCTAAAATGTGACTTCACTGCTTCCTATTTCATTGTAATGTTACAAGAACTAAACTAGAAGTAAATTGGGCAAAGTCACAAGAATGACATCAGGAATCTAAATGCCATAAATAGAGTGAGATAGCAACTCCCCACCCCCATTTTAACCAACACACAAATCAGCACACTCAGATTTCCTACAACTGATAACATGGAATCAGAAGTCCATTCCTCACCTTGGGTTGACTTAGAGTGCATTCATGACATTATCAAGCAAAAGAATTGGTATGCTTACTGATTTGTTTCTAGTAAAATACTTCCGGCATCATGGGTCAAGCTGTAATATTTTTTGCCTACAGTAGTTCAGTTGCACAGGAAAACCCAGTACATTCTTCTCAATCACAACAGGAACACCTTCCAAGTGAAAGCTAACAGCACTCAGATCATTAAATAAGGTAACTCAATTTCAAAGGGCAATATTCCTCCTTGGTGCAAGTGCAAAGTTCTGCCCAGGAATAAAAACCTGTTTAATGCAGGGCTCTGGGATTCTTTGCGGTGAGAGGGTCCCAGAGTTCAGGCTGCAGCTTGAGCCAGAACAGCTACACTGCAGTTAAACAGCTCCTGAGTCCGAGCCCCATTAACCCAAGTCAGCTGGCACAGGCCAGCTGTGGGTTTTTAATTGCAGTGCTGTGTAGACATACCCAAAGAGGGCAATTGGGAACTATCAAGATAACTCACCAGGCAACACAGTGCTGACTTCTTTTGAGTGATAGTGTAGTAGAAGAGAAGTGTGGAAACTGTCAGAAAGAAGTAGGTGAGGTAGGATACAGATGGTTCAGTTTGTTAATCATTACGGAGTCCATTTAAAAGAGCCCTATGTTACAGGTAATTTGACACATGGCAGAAATCCACGAGAGGTGCCGCAGTATGAGATTTTTGGGGGGCACTTCTTTCTCCTATGCAAAGTTACTAAAATTCTTGGATGTTGTATTGTGTGTCATCATGCATGTCAAATTTGCACAATGAAATGAATTAAGCTCCATTCCTGCAAATAGTCTTGAGTTCAACAGAGTACTCACATGCATAAACAAACTGCTTCTTGTAGCACTGGTATTCCTTTAATCTAGACTTTTTTAAAAAAAAATATAAAAACAAAACAAGATCCAAGGTGTGAAAGCTCCTGACTAAGACCCTGTCATAAACAGATAGTTAAGGGTTAATGCCTCTTTTACCTGTAAAGGGTTAAAAAGTTCACCTAGCCTAGCTGACACCTGACCAGAGGAACCAATGCGGGGATAAGACGTTTCAAAAGGAAGGAGGGAAGTTCCCTTTGTTTAGAGTCAGTTTCAGTTTAGGGGTTCACATGCAGATGGGGACCTGCACAATTCATGGCAGCACTTAAGCATATACTTAATTTTAAGAATGTGATTAAGTGCTGCACTGAATTGAGATGCTTTCCTGAATCAGGGCCTTAGTCAAGATCTCTCACTTCTTGATTCTTGGGAGGGGGGCACGGAAGAATAGTCTGAATTATAGAAATACTTGTGATTTAATAAGGGGCTAGAAAATAGTTGCTTATCAAAATATTTCCTAGATTAAAATCTTTTTCATTCATTTTTCTTTCTTCCACCCCTTCATAGACAATTCACTTTCCCTTTAAGAGATGTGTGGCAAACTGTTGTTTGGCCCAAAAGATAATGACAGTTCCTACCACCGAGAGCACAATCTCTTCTCACAATTTAGCAGATATGATTATTTTGCCCTCCAAATATCTGTCAGCATACACACGGGCAATTCTTGAATACTGAGCTGATCCAATTAGTAATCACAACAAAAAAATAATTAAAGCTACACCCACACAGTTGTAGCTAGTATATAATTTCAATTTAAGCTTCTCAAACTTCGATGCATGCTAGTTTCAGTATAGACCATATGTAACCGCAGTTAATTTAATTAGCAAAGATTCCTATTTGCTTCATGTATGAGACTGACAAGTTGAAAGGAAATAAATAAGCAAAAGCAAAAGTTATGCAGCATTTTATAGAACAAAGTTCATTTTACAAGTTAGTACAAGGCAAGCATCAGGGTATGATCTCAGTTGGTTAACCATCACTCCCTCAAAAAAACAAAAACAAAACTCCACGTGACCTTGCACTGTGCAACTTCCAGAACTTTGCAAAACAATAGCCATATTAAAAGGCAGTTACATAAAGTGAACAGCAACAGCATTTTAACAGTGGGATTGTTAAAGTTACTTTGACCAGGGACTCTACAATTTGTGAAACAAAACCAGAACATTAGTGGCCCGTCCCTTTCTATCTAGCTGAATGTTACCATTCATGGAAAAACACTGGAGTCCTCTAAAGTTAAACATTTTTTAAAAATTATATCTAACTGATGTTATTCATAAGTCATCCCTGGCAGCATCCTGTTTTTAAAATGAATTAAAGTGACAAACTGTGAAGATACATTTATATAATTAATAAATAATAATACTCTGTACTTCACACTTTTCAACTGAGGTTCTGCGTTCTTTACACAGATGGGAAGTAAAATGGGAAAAAGACAAAGTGGAAAACTGAGGCACAGAAAGGTCAAGGGCATGGTACGGCTCCTATTGAAATTAATGGCAAAACTCCCATTACCTTTAATGGAAACAAAATTGGGACATTAGTCATTTGTCCAAAGTGAAAAGCAAGTGGCAGATTTGGCAATCAAGCCACATTTTATTAAGCCTTTTATGCTCCACAACATGTAGGAAATTGAAGTCCATCTGACCTCAACTCCCCTTCTTGATATTAAGAGATTACTGATACAGACTATTGCCCAGTGTCCTGTAATTCATCTGAATTGTATGAAAGACACCATATAAAATAAATGTATATTTCATCATTTTGGGGGCTGAGTTTGTCCAAGTTCAGGCAACATAATCAGCTGAAAATGTGCAGAATCTTTAACGTCTTTGCCAGCTGATATCAGAGAGGACAGAAGTGGGCACACAACAGATGCCAGGTTAAAAATATCCTATTGTAACTTCTGTATAGAAAAGTTTAACTTACACGGGGGACATAGCAGTGTGCCTGATTCTGTAATTTGTTACACCACTGACTTTCAGTGGAACATCTGATGCAGAACTAGAGCAATGGAGTGTGGGGGGAAATCAGGCCCAGTGTAGCCAAAGTTTGCTCTTCCTGTATGGTTGGGACAACACTGCCACATTGTTCCTCTTTGAAGTTAACAGAAGTAAAATGCATCCTAATTAAACCTAAACACACATATCCTAAAACAAACTGACTCTACAAAAACAAACATCGCATCCCGGATTTTCCACAAACTGACAACCTGATTTGGAGAGATTCCCCAGAAGCAATACACGAAGGAGGTTTAACTGAAACTAGAGAAGAGCAGAACAACTTTGGCCAGATTTTGCTTTCAGAACGGTACCATTCCAAAGCCACTCTAGTCCGGTACCAACGCTTCACTGCGTGCAAGCCAGGGGAGAATCAGGCCCGGTGGCCTTACCACAGAGTTTCCTGAGGCGGGGAAACCCTCCATCCCCACAGGTGGAAGGCTATACACCCAGCCTGAAAATCCATCCTCCCCCACCCCTGGCAGAGAGCGCAGAGCGGCTCCGGCCTACGCCCTCTCCACGCGTTGGCCCGGGTTTCTCTGCCCCCACAAGAGGCACCGCCGGGGAGGAGGCGAGGGGCGGCGGCTCCTCCCGCGCTGCTCTGCGGGCAGCCGCACTCACCAGTTCCCCGAGCCCACGATGCAGACTCTCAGCGGCGCCGAGACCAGAGCCATGGCGGGCGCTGCACCACCAGCCGCGAGCCGCGCCGCGCCGCTCGGCACCGGGTCTCGGCAGGGGAAGCAGCGGCGAGCGCCTCCCAGCCGTGCACCGGAGAGAAAGCCCGGTGCACGCCGCCCGCCCTTAGGCGCTCACATGCTGCTGCTCCCGCGGCTTGCTGGGAGCTGTAGTCCTTGCCCCGGTGCGGGTGCAAAGCTGACCGCCCCCCCCGGACGCGGGCTAGTATCTGCACTGGCTCCCTAGAGTGCGCTCTGCTTGCAAGCCGGGCGATGGAGGGCGGGGCGGGG